CCCTACCCCAGAGAGGGGAGTAAGGTGCCCGCAGGTTGCCTGGGCACCCCCCGTAACCCCTAGGTTAGTAGGGGGCAGAGTGGTCCAGGCTGCAAGTGGGATGCTCCGCTTGTGCCTCATGCAGAGGCCTCTGGTGCAGCATCTCATTTGCTGTGAAAGGTACATGCTATTGGGAAATGTAAACAGCCTTATCTGTTACTCGTGCTGCTGCTGGATGTCAGCCTGGGCAGCATCGGTGTTGGTACTTGCTGTGTGCTTCTGTCTGCTCCTGTGTATTGCTGCGGCCCTGTTTGCAGGGATTTTCTGTGTGAGCAGCAAAGCTGAAGTGACTTGGTGTTTTAAGGGGATGTGGGAGGGAAGGATTGCTGCTATCATGATTGTGAGGTTAGTTTAAGCTTTAATGATAAAATGATACTTTAACAATGTATGTGTGTGAGGCTTGAGTTAAAGCTGTGTTTATCTTTGTTTATGGAGCAAGTCAAGTACTGGCTGTGAGGGCTCATCTGTGGCATGAACCAGGTAGAGTTCAGTGCATGTGGCAGCCAGACCTTCAAATTCTGGCTTGATTGCTGTATGCTCTATTCTCCAAGCATTTGGGGGCCAGGTGGCTTGTGTGGCTTTCCCATAGTAATTCTTCTCATGGGAAATGGAGGGAGTAGTTTTGGCAAGTGGCCTGACAAGTTTGTCAGTCCAGTATAAATGTCTGTGGTACAAGCAAAGACTTTCTGGAGTAGTAGCAGTGTATCTAGTGCTTCTAGCAGTTCATGTCTAGAAAACAATTAGGAACTTTGGTTGGGAACTTGCTATGTAGTCAAGCCAGGCTATTATTTTGACTGCTGGGGGGCTTCCTATTTGAACACGTACATAGCATATAACTCTCCTGGTACAAGTAAAGTCAATTACTACAGGATTTTGGTCAACTCCTGAGTAGAAATGTTATTTAACTGGTACTCATGTGATCAAGATTGAATGCAGTTTCAGATGTGCTGCCCATGTTTATGACTGTAACAACTAGAACTCTTTTCACCCCATTTAGAAGTGGCTATCCCCATTCAAAAGTGGATTCCTCTGCATATATAGAAACCTTTGTCAACTTCCATTACGTTCGAACTGATGATCATTGGTCTGTGTGCTATTCAACAACAATGGATTCTTTATGTAACATTAAGATGTGGACTCACTGAGAAGAGCTAAGGGCAATATAACCCTTTAAACAGCATGGTTCTGCCCAGTGCTGAAGATGTAGTAAGAAGATGCAATGTTCAATTGCTGAATAGCAGGCTTGTGCTCTGAAGGATTTGCATGCTAAAGCTCATTTGGGGACAAACTGTATAAACAAAACAAACTTTTCATACTGTAAGAAACCAAATTAGTGGTTACTTGCAGCTTTTTTGCCTTTATCAAATGATTTGGACCATGTGGTACAACTGGTTTTTGAAGGAGGAGGTGGGAACTTGAACTTTCCTTTGCTAAAGTCTTATCCCCATATCACAGACCCACTGATGTGCGGTTTGTAGAATAGTGGTGGAGAGTAAAAAGGGTGTGTAGGAGGCTGGGATTGAGGCAACACATAGGCAAAAGCTGCATTATGGAGTAGAGTCTTTGCCTTTGCTTCTACTGTGCCATTAGTACATATTGAGTAATTTAACACTGATGGAAAAGACTGAGTGGACTAAGGTGTGGAAGGGACAGACTGGGTGGGGAAACAGCTGTTGTGATCAAGTGTGAGTAACAGTGTGGAGATGGTTTTGAATGCTTTTCTCTTATAAATCTGGAAGATGTCATCGTAAGAAGAGGATGCAAAGATGGCTTCTGAAGCAGTCAGCTGGACAGCAGGATGACAAACCAAAGATAATTGGAGAAAATGACTTCAAGTGGTTTAGCTGAAAGCATCAAATAGGAAACAGTTGGCAGAGCAGGAAACTGTTACTACTGTCACTGATGGCAGTACTCATATCTAATTTGGCTCTTGGCACAGCTTCAGACAGCGTGGATGTGACTTGGGAATGTTACTTTTAAGTTGCTGCTGAGGAACCAGCTTCAGTTACTCATACCTGAAACTGTTTTACACACAATTTCAGTATTTAGTTTGAATTGCGGGGTTTAGGTGTGCATTCCTCAGGTTACTTATCTGTCTCTCAATCATATAAGGCTTACACTGCTCACTGCCATGTTTTTGATGCCGGGTCATGGTTTTAATACCTAGCTAGTAAACATCTTATTTCATTTTATTGATGCTGATTTAGCATGGAAAGGTAAGCTGCAGTCTGTCAGACCTCTTATTTATTAAGGAATAATGCATGCTCCCTTTGTAACAGTGCTGTTGATGTTAGTTAAATGAGTGCATCTACTCTCAATGCTACCATGCTATCAGAGGTCTTTGGTCCTGGACTAGAACCATACAGCAAATGTCAGGAAGACTCATTTATCTTCTGCTGTATGGAACTGTTACGCTCTTGATAAGATATGAAGTGGAAGTGTCAGCAGGCAGGACTCTGTCCTGCTGTTTAATCCTCAGTTTCACAGACTGGGGGTAGATGTTGCACAGAGCTATTAGAAAAGGTCTGTATCTCCATGGTCGCATATGGCTTTTAACAGGTGAAATGATGCCATCTGTTTAGGTGTTCAAGTAGACTATATCTGTTGATGCTATAGTCACTTGCTTTAAACAGAAGTGTTATCAGTTTTATCTTACTGGTTGTTTCAGCCACAAATATTATTTATCTGGATATCCCTAATTGTAGTTTGTCTCTATTCCTGCAATTATCTGCATAATGCTAACAGATACTTATTACTTCCAGCCAACTATGATGACTTATACCAGTGGTCAGTGGAATCCTTCTCAGACTTCTGGGCAGAATTCTGGAAGTACAGCAACATTCTATGTTCTCGCCTGTATGATGAGGTAAGTGTTTCTCTTGGTCACCTGCAACACAAAAGGGAAATAAACCAGTTTTACAGTTAATCTTTTGACCTGTTCCAGGAACCTTTACAAGTGATAAGAAGTATCTGCCAAGTGTGTAGTCCTGAATTTTGTGTGGTGGATGGTGGTGTTCTGTTGCTGGTACACTTTATGGCAGTGAAATCCTTAAGTTCTGTTGTCCTAAACAATTGTGCTCTCATCTCCCTGTGGTCATGTGCTCTCACATACCTTGGCAGTCCTGGCTGCTGCTGAGGAGTCTGCCATATACTGCCTTCTGCTTTAGGATTATGCTGGTAAAACATGTTGATTTTCTAAGTGCTGGCATGCAGTCAAGTTCATGTTTGCTCCTGGCGTCACTTCACCTGATAAGCACATCTGTTAAACTCTAGTTTTGTAGAACTGGTTATGGAAGTCTCTGCAACCAGATGTCGGCTTGAAATATCTGTCAGGGTGCTGTGGTAGTGGTTAAATGCAGTCACAAGTTGAATCCCAATCCATGCCATAGTGATGCTTTGAAATAGAGGTTATGTTGAAGCTCTTGCAAATAGAGGGCAAAGCTGGAGCCCTAGTACAGTCCTCATGTAGGATATCAACATCACCCCGTGGTTTTCCGTCTGAAGAAGATGTTGGACTGATTACTTCCCTGGACTTAGTAGAGGGAGGACTGGACTTCTGTCTTAATCCCTGGAGGCCATCTGTTCCAAGAACACTGAGTACTGGCAGTTCTACAGAGGGAGCTGGTAAGTTTCTTTAGCTTTTTCCTGTCTTGCTAATTCCTGTACTACCCTATATGATAAAGTGGTTTCTCCTACTGTGAAACTGCATGCTCAAGTGTCTTAATGTGACCCACCCTTTAGGAGAGTGAATTAATCAAGAATGTAAGAACTAGTTCTTACTGCCTTTAAGAACTAGCCTGTAAGAACTACTACAAGCATGTAGTCTGAAGGCTGTAAACACTTAATCTTTTTTTCCTGTTGATGGTAGATCAAAACCTGGCCAGGTTGTATTTGGCTACTGTCATATTTTCTCTACCTACTCTGTGTTGCTAGCAAGGTTATTTAAGTTTCCACATGAATGCAAATTGTCCTGAGTAAGTAGCTCAGAGGAGCTATTTTAGGAGCTATTTCTCCTGTGTATCTGTTCTCAGCAAGCTGCACAGCAATACTTTTTTTTTCCCTCTTGCCTTACAGGTCTGGTTCTCCTGAGAAGTCTGTCCCTCCAGACACCACCAGTGGCTGATGGGAAGGGAGACTGAATCAGGCAATAGTGAGCTGGGATGTTTACTGAGGATGAGAAACAAGAAGATGGGGAAGTCTAGGAAGGTTTTAACTAGACTGCTTTTGAGCTTCTAGGCTTCTGCATGCCTGTTGTACAGTGGTCTTGCTATGATGGTAGATCTTAAACCAGGAGAGGTCTGTCAGCTGACAGACAGGTGCTGAAGAAGATACTTGTCTCACTCTTTGTGGCTATTGCTGTTTGCCTCAACATTCTCTATGTCAGCTTCAAGGCTTGACTCCAGCTTTCCTAAGCCTCAGAGCTCTCTTGGTGTAGTCCTTACCCTGGGTCTCTTTCTGTTATATGTCAGAGGAAAGGCTGGTCACAGTAACTGAGCTGTTCTGTGGTAGCTGAAGAGTTGAAAAGTTTGAAGTGTCTTAAACTTGATCCCTGCTGCTTGTTGGAAGTAAGCACTATGCTTTGAGGAAAATAAAATTTTTCATCAACTGGAGTTGACTCCTTTGTTCACAGTCAGTGAAACAGTTTCTTTCTACTTTCACAGGTCATTCCAAGAAACAGTAAAATCTTGTGTGTGTATATATAATATAGACAGCTAGTGTTTTATTGAAACTTAGTAAAGGTGTTCAGTATTTGTAGACATGCTCATCACTATAGCAATTGATATCCATGCCATTCCTGAAAAGAACAAAGGTACTTGCAGTGTGCAAAGCTATACTGGCTTGGCAGCATTAGCACTGTTATGTCAAGTTTAAGTAGCTGTTGATTTGAAATGAGAAATATAGTCTAAACTTACTTATTTTTGCTACAAGAAGTGCCTGACAGCCATTGTTCCTGCAGGGGAGCTGCTTTGAGCATTCTGATAGGCCCTGATCTCTAGCTTTTCATGAAGCTCTTCAGGTCATACAGAATATCACATGTACCACAGTAAGGCAAAGATTGTATGTCTCATGGTAGTGGTGAGATTAATTCTCAAAAGTATAGTTTTTTGTTTAGGGTAAGCAGAATCTGAGGCATGATAATGCATGGTTATAGCACAACTAACAAACCACTTGGAGGAGGGGAAATGCAGTAGAGGTGTGGACAGAGGATGTATCTAATGTGATGTTTATTCATAGCTCCTGAGGCTTGTGAAGCAGTCTCTGATTAGCTGCTAAGAAGAGCAGTTGTAGAACAGGAGCACATCTGATATTTGGCACGTTCACCTAACCCCACAAATTGTCCTTGTGTGCCATTGCTGCTGTGAGCAGGAGTAGAGCCTTCCTCATTTAATGAGGACTGCAGTCAGCAGTGCTATGGACTGCACTTAGTTCCTTTGGACTTGCTGAGTGCTTGTTGGACTGTGTGAAGTGAAATGTTTGTTGCTAAGCTCTGTATTGTCACAGACTTGCTAGAGCCGAGTTCTAATAAATAACTGCCAGACAGTGAATTTGCGTTGCTTGCTGAGAACTTGCCTCTGTGGGAGACATCAGGATGTTCAAACAACAGAGTGCTACCACCTAAGAGGTTGGGTTTAAGTAAGAGTCACAGGTGCTACCTGAGAAGAAAATAATTGAGCATCAAGTATGCAAGTCCAGCACCTTATGCTACTGGTGGAGCTATTTGAAGGGGTTTTCTCCTTCAAGGAAGAAGTTGGGTTATGTTAGATCTTGTCCTAGAAAAAGCTGAAAAAAATTCTGCTCACTTCAAGCTAAGGAAGTCAGTAAGAAGTCAGTTTTTAATGGCTTCTATTACTTCAGCAATATATGTATTATATACAAAAAATGTAACAAATTCTACAGCCTTGTTCAGAAACTGTAAATGTTGTAAATCCCTTTTGTCCCATGTTTAGAAAATTAATTTTGAAATTAAGTAATAGAGCACTTCCACATGAGCCTTAACTTCTAAAACTGCCTCAAGTGATACACACTGCACGTCTCAAAGCACAAAAACATGAGGCTTTCTGGAATGGGAGTTATTTTGAGTTCTCTCTGGCTTTTAGAAGAGCCTTTCAGTTGGTCTGGAAGAGTGTTGTTTCTGTAATGCATGTGCAGTCCATGAGACAACCTGAGGGTATAAGCTGAAGCTTTCAAAAGCACAACTATAAAATGAAGCTTGAATTTAAAGATTACAAAATGCATGTGCTGCTGGGCAGTTGAGTTGCTAAACAGTGGGGAGTTGTGGAAGGAATTTGCATTCCTTTGTGGCTAATGTGAAGGGGCGCTTTACCTATCACTTATCAAAGATATCTTAATTGTGGTTCAGTCAAGGGCTAATTTACTATTTTGAAGCTTAATTTGTTCAAGATGAAGGGGAGTTGTTTCAACTGAATGTATCTTTGTGATTTAATTGTGTTTATCAATTCTTTGCATGTCTTGGTCCTAAACGGGGAATTACTTAATATGGGCTTATTTGGTTGTTGGACTTTTTTCAGGAAACAGCAAATCAAGGGAGGCAGAAATATCCACCCTTGATTTTTTCATAAGGGAAGGCTTGAGTGTATGCTGGTAGAGACCTACAAAATCCTGTAGCTCAGTCCCTGTTTGCGACAAACCCTAGAGGCAAAACCCCAGCATGCTCTGTGGTTTGTGGGTATCTTGTGGTCTGGACATAGTCATACTGGTTTGCTTCACTTGTGTATTTAAGGTTGGTCAGTGGGGAACTTTTTTCTAGTGATGTTGTAATTATGTCTTTGCTTGTGACAGTTGACAAATAATTAATCTTTCCAGGCCTGTAATTACAGAATCTAATATCTTTGTTTGCTATCTGTAGGCTGGGAGAAATTATTAATGCCTAATAGAGTGCATAAAGAGTTTGGAATTAGATAGCTGATTTCTGTACAGTGCTTTGAAAAATAACATCACTGTTTTCCAGGAATATATCTATTTTTTATTTTTCAGGTGATTGATACATCCAAAAGCATTGTAGATGTCCCAGAATGGTTTAAAGGCAGTCGTCTGAACTATGCAGAAAACCTTCTGAGGCACAAGGACAATGACAAGATTGCACTGTATGCAGCAAGTAAGAAAGAATTAATGGCTTGTATTTGTAATTCACAGGACTAGGCCTTATAAAACAGCTCTTCTTTATATGAAACCTTGAGATAAACTGGCTTGGGTAGGAACAAATAGAAAAATGAAGTCAGTAATTCTGCCAAGTAACAGCAAAACGTGCTCTGGGAATATAGATAGTTCTGAAAAGTCCTTGACAAACTAAATGAAGTTTTCTTAGAATGGGCTTAACTGCATTAAGGTAGTGGGGATCATGCTGTGTTGAACATCCCTCAATATCTGAGCAATTACTTCACATTCGTCATAAGCACTTGTTTAATGCTTGCCTTCAGGAAGTATTTTGGCACTGTTGCTTGATACTGTCCTTCCCATGCTCTTCCTATGCCTAAAATAAATTTAGGAATACTAAGTACTACATGGGGCGTAGGTGGGATATAACTCTGGTTTAGACAGTACAGAAAGGAATGACAGTTACATGCATGAGAGACTTGGAATTCCACTTTTCTGAAACACTAAAGCTCCGACTCAATCTTTTGTTATTGTGGAGAAGATTTAAGTCTCATAAAATCTGGGAATACTCATAATTAGGATGGTAATGTTAAGACAAAGTCCTTCCCTATGCCTGCTGACTTTGGTAACTTAAAAGTATTCTGCTCTGTTAGATGGGATTAGCTTCTGTGCAGGTGTGTGAGTGCTTCCTTGGGGAACTGCATCCTGAGCTTCCCTTTTGCTGAACATAATCCGTACCTTAGGACTGACTTACGAAGCAATGGTGCTTCATAATAGCTTAACAATAACCAGTGAAGACTTGCAGCTCATTAGCAGAGAAAACTATGCAGAACTATACATTGGTTGGTTTTAGGTGTTAAAAGTCTTAGTTTCTGATGCATGGAGATCAGCTTTCGAACTACATGTGTATTACTGTTGTTCTGATAGCTGTTCGAAAACAATGGGAGACAATTGTTTTCTGTAAGTTTACTGCTGAAGAAATACTTACCAGTTGCATTTTACTCCTTAGAAATACTGAGAGAAACCTCTTTGATCATATATATGTATATATATATATGAAAATACACACACAGTATATATTAAATCAACTACCAGTTCAGAGAGAATGGGAAGATCTGTGACCCAATTTTAGTGTCCTAAGAATTGACCTGGTGATGTCTGGTAAGAGTGAGGCTTGTAAGAGAAAGCTGTCTTCAAAGTGATGAACTCATTACTTTCAAATTTGAGACCATTAGAAAAACTGCTTATGTATTATTTAATGGGAAGAAAAATCAATATAGTTAAGTACATCTTGTGCAACAGCCAAGCACTGATTAGTAAGTCAGCTCTTAATATAAGTAGAATTGATGTGATTGATTTGTTAATGTTAAAAGCTAAACATGCAACTTGAGAAAAAGTAGTTCAATGCTTTCAGTTCAAATTATTGAAGGAATTATTATCAATTTAGTGAACTACTTGGTTTGACATGTGACTGCATTGTTCCTGTAGGTCTTATTTCTTGTTAGGAGAACATGGGGTGTACCAGAAACTCACTGCTTTGTGTCACATAATCACAGGCAATGATACCAAAATGAGCAAAATAGTTTTCCAGTGAATACTGCATGAGTGCTGGAGTGAACATGCTTCTCTGGTGAACAGACTTCCACCTGTGCTTCTTTTCATGACCTTCTGCTGTATTTAATCTTCTTAAGATCTCTTAAGTCGGAGTATTCTTTGTTAACCCCTTGCTGCTAGGTCAGAGTGGTGTTTTGGGAACCCGTGCCAGGTTTGTGTATTCACTAGGGATATATTCTGTGGGAGCAATGTGGGTCTAATAGAGCACTGGAATGTAAATGTAACTTTCTTAAACAATTTCACTTGCCACTGGCTCCCACTGTAAATCTCTTACTTGTGACTCCCTTCTCCTGGGGCTTTTAATCATGGAACAATATCAGAATCCCATTTTCTGTTTGATAGGAATACAGGATCTCTCAGCAGTCCCTGCTCAGCTTATGAGCTACACGTTATGTTGACTTATGTTGTTCCCTGTTTAAGGAAATCGGACCGATTGCAGCTGTAGCAGGGCATGCAGCACATTTTTGTTGTGACATACTTGGCATATGTGTTTTTGAAAGGAGTGCTGGGTACTGGGAACAGGATGGTCCAAATGGGTTGCCGGAGTCGCACTGAGGAACTACAGGAGGGGATCTTTAGGATGATGAACTTTGCCTTTCATAACATTTAGATTTGTTCACTTTGTTTCACAAGTGATTTATTAACAGCTTATGTAACATCTGACAGTCAGTATAAAAATGAAAACACCCTGCAGATCTTTTCAGGGATGAATGGAGTCTAGTTTAGTTTATTTGCTTTGTGGTATGTTGGCAAGCACAGATGTTTAAAAAAGCTTATTGAAAATCAGACCTTAGTAACTGTATGTGGATGACTTTCTCGTTAACAGTGACTTGCTGTAATAAAACCTGAAGTTGGCACCTTGATGCTGCTTCCTAGACCTTATGAGAAAACTAAGCGAAAAGGGAAATGGAGGTTGTTCTTTTCATGTTAGAAAGTAGCCCTGGTGAATGCAATCTGTTTATTACGGATGCTCTTTGAGGACACACCTTTCTCCAGTGAACAGTTCGCGTTTCCACAGATGTATGTTCCTGTCATTGTACTGATAAATACTTGATTTCTATTAGATAGAAAAGCATAAGAGGAACTTGAAAAGCAAAAAGTGTAATTATTGATGGAAACTCTTCTCCTGAAATAGCTTAATATTATTTTTCTTCCAGAATTGTTTACACTAGACTCTAATTATGTTGCAGTGCATGTTTTCTGACTGGTTGTTTTAATCCTCTTTCCTCAGAGGAAGGCAAAGAAGAAATCATGAAAGTTACTTTTGAAGAACTCAGACAAGCTGTAGCTTTGTATGCTGCAGCCATGAGGAAGATGGGAGTAAAAGTAGGAGACAGGATTGTGGGTGAGTAGCTTCTTTTTAAAGGACAGGAGGTGAAATTTTCTTGGGTGAGTAGTCAAAGTTATGGAAACATGAATGTGAAGTACTATCTCACAGAAACATTCTGAAGAAAAGGCTCTTATGCTGCTATATTTACATTCGTATGAAATATACTTCTAGAGGGAAGAAATCTGGATTAGCCTGCATGTCCTCTAGCACTGGAGGGGGAAGAAAAATACTTCATTCATAGCTTCACTAAGGACTGCTTCATAAGCACTCCATGGAAGCAGAAGTGATGGAGACTTTGCATCTAGCTGAGCCCCGACTCGTGAGGTCTGGCACATTCACACGGGACTAATCTTGGGAATTCCGGTCCCAGGTTGGTTGTTCTGATGCCAACTGGAAGTTACTGCCCCTGGGGCCTCAGTTAATATGGTGCACTGTGAATGGCAGTTCTTGAGGAATGGATTTGTACTACCTTCTGCCACCAGTGCTTTGGGAGTAGTGCTTTCCAGCACTGTGGTGGTGAACAGCTGGTAAGCAGTAATTTTTTTGAGTCATAGCAATGCAGAGATTAGTAGTTTAAAACCCTGAGATGCTTTCAGTAACTCACAGGATCTTCTGGAATATTATTTCCTGTCAGGAGATTGTCATGTGAATCTCTCTGTATAAAGAGGTTTTTTTTTTCTTGTGAACAGCTTGTGCAGTATACAGCCCAGGCATAGAAAGGAGTTCCTCAAGCTGGCTTTGTTCCATTTATTTCTAAATTGCTGGGTTTGCCCTTCCAGCTGAACTACTTCATCTCTCTACTTCATGTGCTCTATAACACAGGCTTTTCAGTTTCATCAGTGTACTGCAAGTCGAAACTTCAATATCCTTGAAGCTCCTTGGCTCCTACCTGGTGGTTCTGCTGATGTGCATATCCATCTTAGTGTAGGAATTGCATGTTCTTTGAGCAATACTTGGCCATTATCCCAAGTATGTGTAAATTCTTGTATGATGCAAACCCAAAGTGATGAAACTGGTTTGTTTTCTGCATGTTACAAACCAGAACTTGAGCCCATGTCTTCAAAAACAGAAGGGCATGCATTATTATTTTTAAACCCACAAATATGACCTTCAAATGTAAAATATACTCAAGAGCTCATACTTCATGCATATGCTATGAGTGTTCTATGGAACTGGTAACTGAACATTTAATTATCATAGCTGGTGGCTTGCTTTTTACATAGAATTAGAGCTAAATCCTTAATTGGATATGAACCATCCAGCAAAATCAGGAAGGTTTATCTGAATGAAGGCTAATGCTTCACTTTGTCTCCATTTTCAGTGTTGACACTCACATTTATACCTGTCAACTTGTTGAGGAGCAACAGTCTCTGATTGAAACCAAACTAAAGAATAGGAAAACTTACACTCTACAAAGTTTCAATAATCAGAGTTTAAGTGTACTTTTCCTTACTACCTGTCCTTCAATGTGTACATCAAATGGTAAAAGTGGGTTGTGTGTATTTTAAAATTGCCCCAAAATCATTGGCAAGACAATACATAATTGTGCATAGAACTAGAAACTTAAACATCATGAAATCAGTCAGAAGACCTAGTCAGGTTTCTACTGGCATCTTTAATGCTTTCTGTAAGTGTTGTTTAGCATTGTGAAGCACGCTGAATATACTCTCTTTCTGACTTTTGCAATGAAATTTCTTCTGCTGTGTACAAAACAAGTTGAAATACTCTGTTGTGTAGACTGCTTGTGGGGATTTAATTCCCTATGAGTTTTCAAGTAAGTAAAAAAAGTCTTAACAGGGCCCAAAACAGTTCTTCCATATGTGTTGCTGGTTATGCTAAACTGAAGGATTAAATCTCACCCGTAAGTGGCAAAAAGAGTGCTCTAACAGTTTTAGACCCCGTAACATGGTGAAATGTGTTGTGGGAAAGTGATGGACAATGCAGAAGAGTACTTACTGGATGTTTTCATATTTCGTGTGAGTTAGAACTGTGTGTGAACACAATACAATGGGAGAGGACAGTAGCTGTAAGCTTGTGAGTAGCAACAGCTGTAGCGTTTGGTGCTTTGGTGAGTAGGGGCCTGCTGTTCTTTGCTGTCCTAATTCTCAGGTTAAAGTCAGTTTCTTAGACTTTGCAGACTGGTATCTGATGCTAAATGAGAGGTTTTCAATCTCTGGGAAGAAAATACTGCTCACCAGGGTAACAGATGTGATACTAATGTTTAAGCGTGAGCAGGTGCAGCCACATTTAATGGGAATGTACATTCTGAATTAAGATCGAAGAATTTTTCCTGCACGAGCTTGTTTTGTCTTCTAAGGTGCAAATTAAAGGTCTCTCTGCAACATGGTTATCACTGCTAGACCTCTTCTAATCAAGTTAGAAATACTGTGTTTGGGAAAAGACCACATAGGATGTTCTCGCATTGTGCTCATCTTGTGAGCAGTTCTTTGTAAGGGTGTACTATGCAGGAGAAATGTACTCTGTAGCTGGAGAAAATGTGCTATCACAATATAGCCAGTGATGCTAATAATGCTATTATAATTTTAATAACACTTCCTTTTAGTTAAGGACTGCATTTTGCTTAGCACAACTGCAGGCTGGCTGACTCCTGAATCTTTTCTGTTGTTTTGGCAGCTAGCTCACCTCTTACTTAAATTAAAAAATGAAGATTGTATGAATAGTTCCCCCTTATTTTTATTTATGCAGGATTTTTACATGCAGAAGGCAGCAAGTTCAGCTCCCATCCTTTGAGTAAGCTGCAGCTCTGTTTTTTCCCTTGGCATTCTTGTGTGTTTCCTAAGCCAAAATTTCCCGTCTGGCACTTCCACAGCAGAGACCTCTCTGCCCAGCTGTTGTAGGTACCAAGTATCTGTGCTGGTCCCCTTGAGCTTTTCAGTAGCTTAAGCTCATTTTTATGAGCAGTTACAGCTTATTTGTGGAAGCAGGCTTGCGTTGTGCTTGGAGTCCTTACAAAGCCCTTTACTTTTGATAACAGAAAAGATTAATGAATCTAGGCAACCTCTTTCTGTCCTTAAAAGTCACAGTATGTTTTTGGGCTCAGATAGAGCTTTTTAAATTACCCGGAGTCTTTATGTGCTTTTTTCTTTGGGCATTTTCTCACATCTTGCTTTTTGCCACTCTGTCCTCTTCCCCTGGCTAGTAACCATCTTTTTCCCTTGTAATCTTCAGTCAGATGAACACGTCAGCTCCCATCACTTGCACTGTTCTCACCCCTTAATTTCCCCTGCTGCTCCCAGTCCTTGACTCCTGACTCGACAGATTGCAGCAGCCTATATGTAGGGAGAGCTTCCCTCTGAAAGAAATCCGATGGGATTTTTAACAGCAGTGTAGCTATTTAGAGAGAGGAATATATATTTTAATTTTCTCAACTTCTTTCATATGTTTCTCTCCTATGCCAGAAGATATTGGCAGTCCTTGGAAGAGCTAAACTGTAATGTCACAGTCAGAGGTTCGGGCTGCAGGCTTTTCTCCAAATCCCAAATTGAAATGAGGGAGAGATGTTAAGTGTTGGGTGGGAAAGTTTGAGCACTGCACCCACTTGTATCAAAGATGAGGCTCTCCAAAGCTTGCCAAAATCTACTAGGACCTAATTTGTTCCAAAATTTATAGCAGATGGCAGAAGGAAGGGTGATTCTTCATGTGTTTTGCAGCAGTAATAACAGGGCATGCTTTTACTGCCTCTGAGAAATCAGCTTTTGAATAGAAGGGAGATACTTTAATTTTACTATAGTTGCCCAACACCTGGTCAGCCTGGCAGGTTCTGGTGCCCTATGTTGCCACTTTCTCTTAAACCACTGAAAAGCTTGAGCTGTTAGAATTATACACAAGACCATCGACATTGCTTTCTTGTGAATTTCATCTCCATGTTTTACTATCTCTAAGAGAAAACTACTTTAACTTTTCATTATACTTAACATATCCCCTTGTTAGTTCAATACAATTCATGGTTGCATCATGACAGTAATAGTATGTTAAAGCTGGAGGTGGGTGAATGTGGGTGGACAAGCAGCTATGTCAGCACTTCTTCAGCTTGATTGCATCCCAGTCTTCCCGTTCTATCGCTAAGGAGACACCAGTTAATAGTAAATAAAATTAAAGCAGATGTGAGGTAAAATGTATCTCTTCTTCTAAAGATGTGTTGTGATATCTTCTAAAGATGTGTTGTGATACTGTCAATGATGCTTGAACAATTGGAAGAGACTGATAAAATACCTAATGCAAGCTACACAGATCCACATATGAAGAACACTTCCCACTGATCATCTGTTTGGCAAATAACCATGTCTGCAGAAGGAATAAATTAAAACTGGGAGTATATGTGTTTCTCATCTCTGGATAGGTTGCTTCTATTACATCCCTGTAGCCAGTTTTGTTCTATTACAAGTCAGCAGTTAAAAAGGAACTAATCTTCCCCTTGTGTTCCCACAAAATCCTCAACAAAACATCAATGAATTACATTGTTTAAAGCTGGTATTTTTATCTATAGTAACGGTATTAGCCCTTGTTGCTTACGTGGGGTTTAAAGCTAGCTTTGTAAGGAGATTAGCATGTTACTAACAGTCTCAGGCCACAGTAATGTTAGGTAGGTTGACCACCTTAAAGTCCTACAGGAGTGTGAAACGCTATATTAACATCAAAGAGAATCTGGAAGTCTGGTCTTTGTCTCTTCTGTTTGAGAGCTGGTGTAGATCAATAGTACAAGCCATTAAGATACTGAGCTCCATACTGTCCTTCCTCCTGATGCATTCTTTCAAGGTTCAAACTAAATCCTGATGCAGGGTTTAAGTTTGGGGCTTCTCGTTCTTATTTTTTTTGTTTGAATGCTTGGCTGCCTCTATTTCTGAGTACACTTTTATTCTGCCTTACAAAGGCAGTAGATGCTTGCAGGGAATGTGTTCTCAGCACTCAGAGATGAGACTTTTGACATGGTTTTCGGCATATCAATTTTTGGACTACAATTCTCACCTATTTGGTTGCTAAATACTGTAGTGTAAACAAACAACTCGAGTGTCATCTCAGACTATGCTAGATTAAGTAAACAGCACCTGACAGAAAATGCTGTCCTGAGCAGATCAGGCTCTAAGTGCCTCTAAAAAAATCCATATGGTGTTTTTAAGATGTTTCTTGTCCTGCTTATGGATTTGTCGCAGGTTTTATGTCAAAGTAAGTCTTTTATTTCTTTGTCCTGGTGGAGATTTCATACATACTTACGAGTCAGGAGGAGTGCTGCTAGGACCTTTGGTATGTCATACTCTGAATTCCTAGTTGCTGGGTTCCCAGTTTGTTTTTGGAGCCTTCTATTCAATTGCTTTCATACCCAAAGAAGGTATGAAGATCCTTCTCTTCCTAATAAGAATAGGTAGTTTCCACCTTTCTTACCAGCTTCAAGAAAGGGGTTAAGATACAGAGCTAGACAAGTACCTTCTGTAGACTTTACCCATGTTGACGAATGCTAGTTTTGATCCTTAGCTTAAATATCTTATCAAGGAACATGGAGGCTCTAGTTAAACATATGAACAAATATATGATGAATATTTAAATTAACTGTACCATTATTCTTCAGTAGTACAGAGCTTCTGTACATATGTCACTGTTCTGTGACCCCTGATGTGAATCCAGCTAAAAAGTTGTGCTTTTATCCTTTGTCAGCAATGTTCCTATTCAAGTTTTAGACACTTAAGACCTGTGTCAGCCTACTGAGTGCTTTGAGGAGTCAGTTGATACCTCAAGGGGCACAGTCAAATGCAGGGAGTTTTGCATACATGACAGTTGCTGTCATTGATCTCTGATCTGTCTGAATCTCTGATGTGTCACTTTTATTTCTGAGAATCCAGTTTTAATGTGAAAGACTGACAGGAGAAGTAGTTCATGTCAGAGTTGGGAGCTGTCGAGAGAAAAGGAATGTGAGTTCTTGCATCGCTGTGCTTGGAGGATCTCTTTCCAGAATAGATCCACATTTTTATTCCTAATACCTGGTGCTGGGGATTAGGACAAACACATGAGAATCCCAATGAGCAAGCAGGCTGGCTGCCTGCAGTGATGGGGTTTGGGTACAGAAGTGTGAAGTAAGTTGCCTTGCATGTTTCATACCTTTGGGCAGTTTTGGCTGATAGCCTCAAAAACTCAACCACCACCTCAAAGCCAACTGACAAATGAAAATGATGATTTGATTGTCTGGCTCACAATACTAAGCAGAGACTTGAGTTCTTGCCTTGAGGGCTTTTGTAGGAATAGTGAAAAGGAGAACTTCCTTATAGTAGAACTGATGCTTGTAAGCTATGACACAATAAGTACTCCAAAGAATGAAGAGACATCTTTCAGTTTTCATTGCACTCTGGCTCCTTGATAATCCCATCTAAGAAATGCTCAGTGGAAATATTTGGCATTAATTAAAGAATTGCTTTCATCACAGAAAATTCCATTTCAGTCTGTTCTAATTCATGTATTTAAAATTCCAAATAATTTTTCAGGGAGGAAGATTTCTGTTAAAAGAGGAAGTATCCCAAAAGATTTTGGGATACGGTACTTTGTATCATAAACCATTGTCCCTAAGGGAAAAATGGCAAAGTAAATAATGCCTTTATGGGCATGAGGTTTTGCTGCTCTTCATGTACTTAAGAACTTCTCTGAACAAAACACCACAAAAAGCAGTTCTAGGGAGTAATTTGTATCTTAACATGGTTGGAAGCTTTTATTCACAGTTATGTTTTCTCCAGAAATCGTTGGGCTCAAGTCATAATGCAGTTTTCAAAGTTGCTACACCCAAAAGCACAACAGTTTACACATTAACTAGAGTGGTCAAGCTGCCTTAAGGAGATTGATTTTACTGGTTCTGAATTGTGAAGAAAAAAATATCTCAGTTTAAATTATGACTTTTAAAGTCTACTTTATACACAGCTGAAAAAGGATAGAATTTTTCAAGCTGTGTAGACAAACCGGTAAAACTCAAGCTCAGTACCCTCCTTGGTACTCCTCATTCTTTGAGGAGTGCTTAGCACTAGTGAGTTTTTGCTGTCTGGTAGATACTTGTGGAGCACCTGCAGCTCATACTGCAGTCCAAGATGTGTCAGTGCTCACCACTTCCATTGAGCAGGTTGGAACGCATTTTTATTGCCATTTAAGTTTGCTTTCAAACTCTGAGTTCTAATTAGATATCCAAGTACTACAATTAGGCCTGTCATGCCTTTTTTTAAGTACTTGGACATCTTTTTGGTTACTTAAGATGGATGACCTGAAACTCCAGGGTTTTTTTATCTATTTTAGTGTACTTTCTGAATTTCAGTTGCATGTTTTCATCTGTAGGTTGGATTGTGATCAGCTGAGGGTTTATCTCAGCCACCCAGCACCTTCTGCACAGCTCCTCAAATTGAGCCCACTGAAAATCTGACTTTCTTGATCTTAATTTCTTCTGTGTGCCTTGATAAGTTGAATCTCAATCTTGAAATCTTGTTGCAATCTATTGAGATAAACCTGAAGAGCTACATTTTTGTGGGGATGTTTCAGCGCTTGTCCTACTGTATTGTTCCCTTATCAGCTGAGGCACTGGTTTTGCTTGTTTGTGTTCAAGATTCTGGCACTGTAAAGTTGAATCTCTGCTTTTGAACTGATTATTTATAATGTTTCTTTCCAGATCCTTGTTCTTGCTCCAGTGGCTGTTTCAAAAAACCTGTTCTCTTCCCCTGCATGCTGCTGTATTAGTCTCTGTACCCAATTCAAACCACAAACTTACTCTCTCCCAGTTCTTTTCAGTGTGCTGCCCTCTTAACCTGAAAGTCTCATTAACGAAGAAGAAACGTTTGTAAATTGGGAATAACCTTGTAGATATAAACCCCAATACAACTATTTTTATAAGTGGAATTTCTTCTAATTCCTCATGTAACTCATTTGACTTCGAAGGAGGACATTATGTGTGGAAAACTTTAAAGGATGCTTCAGTCTAGGAAAAGCCTGTTCAAACTGGCTATTGTATACACTACATTTACTGTAAGGTTTGGTATGTTTTTAGTTTTCTTCCATCTCTAACTACTCAAATTCTGCCATAGGTTACTTACCAAACAGCATTCATGCAGTGGAAGCAATGCTGGCTGCTGCAAGTATCGGTGCTATCTGGAGTTCAACATCACCAGACTTTGGCATTAACGTGAGTAGCCTTATTATTGCAGAAAAGCTGTCACTGTTTCATACAAATAAAATGAAGTGTCAGATTCTCTTCACTTTAGTCTTACTGCCACCTCCTGGCACAGCCAAGTACACCAGATTTTTCTTAGCTACCACAAATCCATGCTTTCAGTTGTCAGTAATGACATTCAGTGTTGTTAATTTGAGTATCTATCTTTAGCTAACTCACTGCTGGGATATTTTCAGGTGGAGTTTGTAGTCTTTGTGAGCTTTTATTACATTAAATGTGCAAATGAGCAGCAATGCAACAGTGTTGTCTGGGGCTAGGCCCTGCCTTCTCAAATCTTTCCCCGGGCTGCTTAGCTACAGTCCAGTTTCTTTGCGCAAGTAGTCCCTTCCTCTGCCTTCTATGTGGGTAAACTGAGCCACAGCTCATTTGGTCTTTTCCAGAAGGCTTTACCAACAAGGTGAGGAATTTCAGGTTAATATCACTAACTTATTTGACTCTTTCTTTAGTGTAGGAGTAAGTGCTGTGTGTAAAATGTGGCAAAAATGAACATGATATCATAACAGACATTAGTGTGCCTGGAAGCTTTGGGAATATATTCTGCTTTCTTTGGAAAGCCTTTAGCACACATCACAAGCAGCAACAGACACAAATCGCTTCTAAAATGGAGCGTTGAACCTTTATTATATCTAAAAGTTTCCATGAAAGCATTTGGAGAATGTACTGTATGGGCACTGCAGAACACAGAAAACACCGATGAGTTTAGGTAATGCATACCCTCAATCTCCGTTAACCAGGAGCTGGTTAGGTGCATGGAGCTATCATCTCTAACGCTAGAGGGCAGCAGGATTCCACTTTCTTACACTTGAGGTTGTATCATTCGGGAAAAAAAATGATTAAAAAGAATCATTACAGCATGTAATGATCAATCTGTTCTACAAATATTTTCTGCTTGCTCAGAGAATGACAGTATGCATTATTTTCTTTGCAGTGTGATTTGATCTCTCATCTGGGAGAAGATTGTTCATTTCACTTGCATTACAGAGGACTGATATGTTTTCTGTCCATGTTGATATGCTGTTATTTTCAGTGCCCAGCTTTATTTAGTTTTTGTGATAGTCTTTTAATGAAACTTAGTCTTGGAGCAGCAGTGCCATCGATGTCATTTAGTCTCTTGGCTTGGCAGTGTGTGTTGGCATGAATTCAAACCCTAAAATCTTGAGGGAGATCAGCAGAGGTCTTCAGGGATATTGGCTTTCACCCTAAGGAAAAGATATTCGTCCTTCTGTGCAGTTGCATTAGTCTTGTTAACATAAATGAAGATTCTGTTTGTGTTTTGGGAAATAGTGTAGCAATTTCAACACTTCAAATCCAATTGTGTATATATGTTTTGTGAAGCTTAGAAATGTCACTTCTCAGAACTGCCTACACATTGCAGGCTCTGAATGCCATACATCCAAAGACTTCACAAGTGTTCAGGAAGTCTGCTGTCAGAGAACCAGTGAGCTCCCTCCCACACAGAATGCAGCTCTTGGCAGCTTTCCCTTCATTTCTTTAGTCCTTGTTATCCCTTTTGGTATATTAATAGGAAAGTGTTTTTTTGTGGCCTGTACATAAGAAATTGTTGGCTATATTAAGTTTAAGAGCCTCTTCTCTTAGATCTGTATGAAGAACCTTTGGAGCAAAATCAGTGCAGCTCCATTCACAGGGCTCTGCACAGTTTTTGGATTTGAGGCTCAGAATAGAATGAGCCATATCTGATATACCTGAATTTTTCATGAAAGCAATTCCTTGCTGAGCCATCTGGTTGGACTAAAGTTCCAGTGTAGCAATTACGTGTTCCATCTGTTTGTGTTGCCCTTGTATCATACCAGGCTGCCCTGTGGGATTTGATTCTGCCAGTGCTAATGAATCCAACTGGGTGTACTAGCAGCATCGGTTAAGACCCTGAGATTTGTAGCCATCTTTCTGATTCACACCTCTCTTCAGATGTGATTCTTCTGTTAAGGCCCTCTCATTAGTCTTTATTTTCTTTAAGCATCAGGCAGCATGGATATGGAGTATGTATGCTCCATGCTCAGCATGAATGTGTATGCGCACACACATACATATACATACACACGTGCTGTGTATGTAATTTGGCTGCTTGGTCTGTTCTTTGGAAATGCTACAAAGAAATATATTTGATTTCATACCTAAGAAAGCAGGAAATTTGATTTCATACTCCCTTAGAGGGTATCTTTGTATTAATTAAAGCTACATTTCTGAGTTTGTTAGCTAACACGTTAGAGGCTTCTTGAAAACAACTTCTGCCACCAAAGCAGATTCTGGTGATTTTTGTTTTAAGCTAATTGATAGTTAGGTGTCACTGCATGCTTACTGTATTTTCTTACAATGTGAACAAGGAAAAGGAAATGCATCTTTGGGTGTAGGAAAATTGTGACATACGCAGCAGAGACAGTTGCATATTTAGTCATATCCCAGGGGTGTTCATTGAGCTCTCCTAAGAAGACAACACAGAGAAGTTGTCAGGACAGGACCTCTGTACTTCTGCAGGAGGCTTTCTTGCAACCCTGACGGGTCTAGCTTGTAAAGGAGGAGTGTAATAGAGATTAGTTGACTGTAATGTTTTTGCATTGGTCTTTTGGTAACAATTTGTGTCATTTTGGCTGCAAAGTAGAGGGCAAAACAGGAGACAGACAAGAATAAAGAATGCTGGAAAGAATAAGTACACGACTGAAGTCTGATTTTTTTGCAACATGATTTAGGAGTTTGTTGAATAGTTATCTGATAATTTCAAGTAATATAGCTAGAGAGGGATGTGAACATTGTGTGCTGAGAGCTTTTAGTAAATGGATTTGCTTCTTGCTTTTGAATACGAAAAGATCCATTTGTGGTAGGCTGCTGTATGCTGTGTACCTGGGGGAAAAAAAGCCAGAAGGGTTTTTCTCTCAAATGTGATAATAGCTATAGTAAATTCCTTGAAAACAGTTTAAGCTGGAGGAGAAAACTTGGCATTTGAATGTGTCCTGCACCAGAGGTTCTAAAGGAGCTGTGGCAGTTTTTTGTTGGTAGTATGCATGTATGTATGTGCATGTGTTTTCAATATCTAGTAACTCCGGTAAAACCCAGTGGTAGAGTTTCCTTTGTTAATCATAGCTGAACACAGCTGCCAGTCCATGTGAAGTGCCACCTTGCTGTGTGATAAAGGCATCTTCCAGAAGACTGGTGTTTCTCAGTTTCTCCCCTGTGCAGAGGGAGACTGCCCACCTACTGGTACATTGCCCAAGGAATGTTGGGGGCAGTTTACAAGGGCGTGCAGATGCAGGTAGGAGTCATGTAGACCTTCAAGTAAATTAACTGCCTGACTCCTGCTCACATTAGAGGTGCTTATCCTCTTTAGATGAGTACAAGTGATTCTCAAGATGAACTGTTAACTGCTTAGAGTGCTTTGAGCTTGATCCTTCGGCAAATGGCATTCTGTGACTTGTGGTGATTTTATCTTTGGTTGATATATTTGGGGGTCATGAAATAGATTGTTACAAACCTGTCGTACTTTGAAAATCTTGGGTGAGTGAAAGACAAGCAGGCAGTCTTTGAACAGTTCTCCTGCTAGTTCTTGTGCTTAGTTCTTGCTTGAATTGGGATTTGCATTCAGTATCCAGTGGGTTTCCATACTGTAGCAATTTAACTTTTAACTTCTTTCTCTCTATTTCTCTAGGGTGTACTGGACAGATTTTCCCAAATTCAGCCTAAGCTCATCTTCTCTGTTGAAGCTGTTATATACAATGGCAAAGAACATAACCACTTGGAAAAGCTTCTTAATGTGGTAAAAGGTATTTCACTGCATACCATCTAGTCTTACTTATGCTGTAGTTCTGTGGGCACTCAAAGCCTGCACTGCTGCTAAAAGTGACACTTTTGACTGCTTGTCACTGTCCTTCCTCCTTTACAGTATCTCTGTGGCCACTTGGGACTTCAGAACTGATTGGAGTAAAAACTAACCAGTCCTTTGTGTAATTCTATTGGTCTTTTGCTAGCTTAGCTTAAGTATAGTATCATATATTAGTTAGCAGTAAAAGTAGGAGAACAAGGACTGGTGATACTGGGGTTTTTTGAGCCCGAGTGAAGTGCTGCTGAAGAAAAATGAAGAGGTATTACAGCACTAAAGCTTGTGGATTTACACACAGGCTGGCAATATTGAGCAAATTGTAATTAGGCAACAGTTTAGTCTTTTGGAGTTTCAATACTTGGTGCATCAGAATTATTTGTTACTTAATGCATTACGTTGTATGATCCAATCAGACAGAAAATACCTTTGGTTTATGTAACTGAATGTAGGAAATAATATTTTTTTTTTTCCTTCCTTCTTCCAGGGCTTCCAGATATAAAAAAAGTGGTGGTGATTCCATATGTCTCCTCAAGAGAAACCATAGATATTTCTAGGATTCCAAACAGGTAATGGGAGTTTGTGAGCTGCAACTGCCCTCACTATGGATGTGATGGATGCTGATAGCTACTGAAACTGAACATGCAAAAGCTAGGGTGCAGCCAGAGTTCTTAATGTGGGTCCAGCTTCATACTGAAAGTAGAAGTAATGTGTTGCTGCAGATGTTTTGCTTCTACAAAACCACTGTTGGTATTAATGGTTCTCAAATGAAGGCAAAATTCAATAGGATATAGCAAGCAGAAGAGTCACTTCCAGAAATGAATAATTAATAACTTAAGTGACATTTTTAGAGATAATTTGGTTTGCTTTTTTACGGGTCTGGGTTACATATGTTGGGTAACTTTTGGACGTGGTTGAGTTCCAGATTTTGTGTTGAGGGTCAGATTGTTCCAGTCTGAGCTGCTAAGAGTGGCAGCTGATTGTAGGTGTAGATTTACAGGCTTGATTTTGTTGTGTTACATTTCAATATTATACTAATGTTTTATTTTGAAAACAGGAAAAAACAAAATAGCAATGCAAAGAGTAGAAAGTTTAGGAATAAAAACAGTGTACACAGTTTGAATATATAGCTTATTGTAAAAGAGATAATAGATACAGAGGTAATCCTGTGTATGGACTGCAGTAGTGATTTAAATTTGTTTTAAATGTCCTATGTTCTTTCCCCACCCCCCTCTTATGCAGTGTCTTTTTAGAAGACTTCCTCGCTACTGGGAAAGGAGACCAGGCCCCCCAGCTGGAGTTTGAACAGCTGCCTTTCAGTCATCCTCTCTTTATCATGTATTCATCAGGCACAACAGGGGCACCAAAATGCATGGTTCATTCAGCAGGGGTATGTCTTCCCTCCTGGAGCTCCACTGTCTATATTTAACTACCTGGGTTGCATTTTTCCTTTAACAGGATCATACCATATTGCACTTTAAGGAAGAATTGATTGCTGACAGTTTTTCAGTAACTTGCAATGAAACTTTCTATTTGCGACTGTTTGAAAGCAAATATGGATTAAAAAAACCAAATTATATCCTTAAAGATTGGTGTGGAGACTTTCCAGATTTCAGCTGTTTCCGGGGAGCAAGTGTCGCTTACAAAAGCACTAGTAGAACTGGCCCAACTGATACTGATAGGAAAAAAAAAGGCCAAAGAGCTTGAATTGAGTGCTTGGAACTGATTTTTGGACACAATCAAGCTGAGGCCCGTAGGGAGCTTGCAGGTTTTTATTATCTAGGACTTTGACCATAAACTTGAGTCCCTGTGTTTATCAGTTCAGAGCATGTCATCCTCATCAATCTCCTTTTAAGGAAGGAAGCCAAAAGGTTAGCTTATCTCTTTGGGTGTAGGTTTTGCTTTGTATGGAAGCTTTGCTTTAGGCAGTGTCTTATTGTGACTAAAGGTATATATGATGTTACTGCCAAAATGACTTGTGTTCACATTTATTATTCATGTTCTAGAATTTGTTCTAGGCAACTTAGAAAGTTCAGGAAGCGATTCCAGCAGTCAGGCAGAATGTTGGAACTTTAACTCTGCTGTTAGTGTGGTCCTTAATAAAAGGGTTTGGGTTTTTTTTTTTCCCTTAAGGCAGGCACGAGGTGTTGTCTAGCACATTTTCTACCAACTTGTATAAATTAAACTGCATGACTAATAGCCAGAGTCCACTGTTTCTGCTATTTGCTCTAAAAGTCAGGATGAGGGTCTTACAAGACTGGCTGTAGAGGTTTTAGGTAGCCTGAGGGCAGGACCACTTTGTTACACCCATAGTGTGTATGTTCTTGCCTCTTGGGTGGCAGGGACTGGAGGATTTGCCCACAGACAAATCCCACGCTGCCTCTAAACATGCTGCTTTATTGTCACTAGGAGATCATACCAGGCAACATGTGACATGCAAAATGGTCCCTTTGGGACACAAATCCGTGGTTTGTGAAGAAGAAAGTAGTTATATTTTGAAATTTGACAGTTCTTTTGAATCTGTGCTGGCTTTAGACTGGTTAAAAGTACTTGCAGAGATGGATTAGCAAGAAGAGGACAGGTGTTTTGTTCAGTGATGCAGGATAAACAGTAGGGAGATGAAAAACACAGATGTAGATTGAAAAACAGGACTTTGCTCTGCAAAGTTCTTTCTCTTACGATGTTCTCTGTGTGGCTGCTTAGTTTGCCCTTAGTCATGTGTTTGCTCTCCATTTGAATCATCTGTTTAGTTCATACAGAGCTACCTTAGAGTTTAGGTATGGACTACTCATCCTTGCTGGGGAGGAGAGAATGTGATAGCTTGTTGAATAGGATATGTTATTTATGAGAATTCTGTGTTCTTACTGATCAGCTCTGTAATTCCTGTATTCCAGGTGATTTTTTTTTTTTTAAGTTCTGGTGCTAACACCTCTGTTGTTTGGCCTAAAAGCAAATTATTGCATCAGAGGTTCTGTGGTTTGCATGCTTTGTATGTATCAGCTTGAACAGAGCCTATAGTCTTCTGCACACTTGATGGGTTCCTCTACTTGTTTTTGGCTTAATCTTGTTTCTCCTGGAAGTAATAGGAGGATTCTCATTGATTTCAACAAAAGTAGAAGTAGTCCATGGTCTTTGCCTCATTTTCCAGCCTCAGATTAACTGGAGTTTGGTTTTGATAGTAAAAAATACAAGAAAGGATGACATTTCAGTAAAGATACTTCAACTGTGTTTTTGCAGTGTGCTTTAAAGCTGTTTTGTTACTGTACTGATCTTGGAGATGCCAATACACAGTTTACTTTAAATTCACAACTCTGTTTCTTTCTAATTCTGCAGTATGTTTCTGGTCTGTCTTCTCTGCACACATTCTGTTTTCTTGACACACAGTGAAATAGCATATGTAAATAGTGAGAATGAAGCCAGGTCATGGGAAATGATTTAGAAAGTAGTGCCTTAGAGGGGGCTAAGCTTTTTCTGGTCTTGGAAACAAAGCTGTGTTGTATTGAACAATTGGGTGTGTGGCAGAAAGACATTTGGAGGGTTCTTTGTAATACTCAAAAAATAATAATAATTTTAAGTCCTAAAAACATTGTTTCTGCTTCTTACCTCATTCATACAGGCCCCTTTTCAGTTATTCCCAATTATCTAAGAAGATAACTTCGGGATAAAATCCTAATCAGTTGATTTCTATCCATTTTAAGGACTTGCAAGACCTGAACTTAAATAGCTGCACTGCTGCAGACCTCTTGTGTGACTGTGGGCAAATCACTCTGATGATTTTTCATGCTCGGACTCTTCTGAGTGCTCTACAGAGGGGGCTGCTGGTTTGAGACCAGGGACCAGCAGCCTTGAGTAGCTGCTCTCTCTCAGCTATGTAACCTCTTAGCACTGGTCCCTGTGTGCTGGTGGTATGGCTCAGGAGCAGCTGTGCCTACTGATACTTTGACTCTCCAGATGCTCAGCACTTTATCAGTTGTATGTTAAACTCAATGAAGACAAGCAGACCAGTAAGTTCTTTATCAGCTGGCAAATCTGTGTCATGACATGCTAAATGTTTAGGGTTTATTTTGAGGGTCACGCAAGTCCTATAAATAAATAAGCCCCATAAATAGACTTGAGAGAGCATACTGGGCCATAAGCTCTTTAGAACAGCTATGCAATCTAGCACAATACCTTTGTTTCTGGAGTGAGACTTAACCAGGTTTTGCAGGGGATTAGTTCATAGCCTCTACCTAAAGTAATTGTTTAAAAATTGCTTTTGTTTCCAAAACTGTGAAATAGCAACAACTAAAGGAAGGAAAAGGAAAGCCAATATTTATTTTAATTGAATTTGACTTTTAATTTCACTCTTACGTGGCTCTTTCAGACTCTCCTGCGGGGGCGATGTGCTTACTTTTGTGAATGGAATAATTATGTTAACACCTGCAATTCTTTTGGCAACCTTAACAATTAAGTTAGACACAGTGATTTAAATCCTGACTGGTTTTGAGTTTTAGATGTAGGCAATGTTAGCTATAGCTAGGTGGCAGCATTGGGATATCTTAATGTGTTCAAACAGTAGCAGGTGAATCCAGACCTGGTTCCTTTGAGCTGCAAAGAGAAAATAAGACTTATTGCTTTATTTGTGTTTAATGTTTTCTGCCTTTTCTCCTGAAGCATGTGCCAGTTTTATGACTCTCCTTTTTCATTTCAAATGCTTATGTGTAATCTATTTTCTTTTGGCATAAATCTTGTTTCATGCTTATGAGGCTCTTAATAGTTCCACTATAACTCCTTGCATAAAAGCAAAAACCATCTTTATTTTAAAATCAACCACACCAATTTGTCACTGCAATTTAGTGACTTAATGAAGTAGTTTGTAGATTTATCTATCCTAACAAATTATGCTTCAATGATGATTAGAAAGGTACTTAAGCAGCATTTCCAACAAAAGGGAATAGGAAGTAATATATTTAACTACATTATCAATATTTATGCTTTGAGCAGTGAGGTTTTTCACATTGCTGGTCACTTCCATGTTTATAGGAGATGTGTGTAGTTAGGTCTTTCCTCTCCTAGATGTTAATAGATAAGATAGTTTGGGTACACAGTGGTAATGTATAGCAGCTGCTGCAGTTTGTAGCAGTTCTAGGTCCTTATTCCTCCCAGTTGCCTTGGTATACTGAAACAAAACTGTCAAAGGGCTTATCTTGGAAAATCTGACTGGTAAAACCATGCTGTTAAAATTATGGTCTGCATGGAGCACTCTGCAACTCTGATGGCTGATGAGAGTTGGAAGTGGATGAAGTTCTTTATTCCATGGATTAAAAGTGATGTGCAGGGGGAATTGCTGAGGTCTAATGAGAGAAGCTGGGAAGTTACATGAAAAAATGGAGAATGCAATTGCTGCAGCTGCTGTAGATAGGCCCTGGGATTTACTTCTGTTGTGGTTAAAGGAAATACTTGCCTTTAATTGTGGAGTACATCCTGTGAAGTATTGACAACATTAAGGGGGTTTTTAAGTGTCAGAGTTTTGATTTTCAAGTTTTGCTTTTCATTTATGTGAACTTGTATTTTCCGTTCTCTGTTTTTCAGGGTACACTAATACAGCATCTGAAGGAACACATTCTTCATGGTAACATGACCAGCAATGACATTATTATGTACTATACAACGGCAAGTGTGGCTTATTAAGGCATTTTTAAACCCACTTTAATATATTTTCTTATGAGGATGAGAGAGCTTTTCATACAAATCTACAAGTACAATTTTATGTATCTTTAATTCTTCTGCAAGGGATTGTCCTACTTAACTGTTTTGGTGGGGAGGTAAGAAGCTGCTGAATAAATCTGATTGTGTAGGAGTTCAGTTACGTGGTGGGTTATTTTCCTAATGTAGTGGTAAAGAAAATCATTCCAAGGTCTTCTGAAACGGTTGGAGAAGGCTAGTACATTTCCTCATGAGTTCCTTTCTGAGCTTCAACACCACTAGTCAGTTTGCCAGTATCTCCGTGAAGGGATCATTGTAATTACCTTGTCTCAAAGTTCTGTCTTGCAACTCATGCTTTAAAGGTATGTGTATAGGGAGGTGAGAGATTAAGCAGTGCTCCAGCCTTATTTTCTGATTCCTAAGTAATACGATTAGATGGAATCAGCAGAGATGGGCATAAACTCAGGTGTTGGTTTAACAGTTTCTTAAAGCAGGAAAACTTGAGGCAAGGAAAATAGAGGGCTTGCATGCTTCCTCTTGCACAAGGGCAGAGAGCATGCTTTGGTCCAGATGATTTTGCCATGAGCTACACATGTCCATCATTTTCTAGTTGCCTGTAGCTCCTCTACCAGCATATGATAGGAAGCAGCACTCCTGATGCTGTGATAGAGCTGCCAGCAAAGCAGACAGCTAGCTGACAAAGATGGAAATCGATGCAGGTATTTTCTGTTTTCCAGACTGGCTGGATGATGTGGAATTGGCTGGTGACTGCACTCGCTACAGGAGCTTCAGTGGTTCTCTATGATGGATCTCCTCTAATTCCATCACCAAATGTGCTCTGGGACTTGACTGACAGGCTGGGGTACGTAAAAAAGATTAAATGGAGGAAAATGGTCTGCTCCTGTTACGATGACCACATACAACCAACCTCATTAAAGGTGCCATTGCCTTGATCAAAGCCAGTATGTGACATGAGTTTATCTTTTGGCTTAGCCTTGAGTGGAACTACTACTTTGTTCTAAAACAGTTTTTGAGAGAGAGCAGGAGAGACAAAGAGCTGATTGTCTCAAATTTGAGTCAAGTATTTGGATTCCAACAAACAAAGAATTTTGGTTCAATAGTCAGTTTTCAAGCGCAGCCTTTTCAAAAGGCAGTAATTGGGAGCAATCTGAGGAGTAATTTCTCAGCACACTTAGAACTTAGAAAATACGAATCCTTTTTTCAAGCAGTTCAACCTAAGACTCAATATAACACTTTGACTTAAAGACATAAATTGACTGGAAGGGCTCAGCAGGGTTGCTTATATTTTCATATTTTGCTGTTAAATCTAGAATGCCTAATTTTCCCTGCCAAGCTGTTCATTAATTGTTTTACACAGCTCTTTGTGCCACAAAATGCTCACAGTGCCCTCTCTCTCAAAGCTCAGAGAAATGGCAGATATTGGATAAACAGCTGTAAAATCCTGTGCTGGTATTTAGCCTTGTACATTGCCTCAACTTTATTTTTCTGATAACTTTCTTATTTTGCCAACTGGATGTAAGGAGTAGGACTAAATGTTATTCCTGATAAAAATAATGTCGTTTTTAATTGATAATTAAAATCATGGTCGAAAGCGGATGCTGAAAGGTTCACTTTCTGACTCTTGATAATTAATAATTTAAACTTCATTGAGTCTTTTGTGACATGTAATATTCAAAAGCTGACATTTTGTCTCTGGCTATTGTAACTGAAGGTTAATGCCTAGTCAGAACGCTTCCAGTAAAAAAAAACAACACGAAACCAACCCACAAACTTAAGACGCCCCTCACCTCCCCCAAAAAAACCCCAGTAGAACAACAGGCAAAAATTTAGACTCGAGAAATAACACAGCTTATTTTTAAGCATTGTTTCTACATGCCAGAAGTAAGTGAAGATAACTGAAATGTGTCTGCATGTCTCACTTTTGTAATCTGGCGCTAAAAGTGGTGGCCATCTGTGTGGTACTTCATAATGCAGTCTGTTCCCAGCTCAGTCATATGTTACATACTTAAAAAGAAGGTTTCAAACATGTTAAGACTACCTTACTTCTCTGAAGATGTGCCACACTTTCCTTCTGAGAGCATATTCTTACAGTATCATCAGGATATCTCATACTGCGTGGCAAGATTTTAAGTGGGCATCAATTAAAGATCTGTTCAAGTGAACTCTTATTTTGTCACCATCCACCAGTTATGTAGCATTTGGGAGGAAATAATAGATGACTTAGGCTCTGCATGTGCTGCAGAGGAAGTGTCAGAGCTTAAAAACAGAAGCATTATGTATTCTAGTTGTAAAATAAGCAATAATTTGGAGCATGGAAGGAAAGTAAGATATTACACAAGAGTGTGTTGTGATTGTGGTATATAACTGGAGGAGCAGTACACATCTGGGTTGTCATGGTGCTGTTCCCATGTACCTGATAAACTGCTCTATGCACCAGTGTGCGAATAGCCTGTCCCTACTCAAGAGGTGGCAGCCTCTTAGTAACTGCCATCCACCTAAAATGGTGAAGACATCCCCTTTTGATATTGTTGAAATAGCTCTCTCCATGTCTGTAATAGTATTATCTCAAGAGCTGTTCTACCTTCCCTCTTGCCTTTGGCATAAAAGCAAAGATAGCAGGATCTTATTTGAAGTTCTTTTGATCTGTGATTGCCCATGTTCTGTGCCCTCAGACTGGATCCCTTATCCTTGTCTGTCCCTATGCATTTTCTTGAGTGAGTTTATTGCTGTAATATAAAATGAATTAGCAGAAGGCAGAGAAGAGGATTTCCTGAAAGTCAGCAGAAACATTGAACTAGCACTTCTATTGATAGAGTAGGGAAGAGGTACAGCCTTCATTTCAAGTTTTGATTATGTTGTATTGGAGAGCTCTAAATACCTTTTTGCAGGGGCAGAATTCAGTTACTTGCTTAGCTAGGCCACATTTCATTTCAGTTAGGCACCTGCAACTCAGACTTTCATCGGTGTAAACCAGGGAGATACCTAAGAGAAAATGACTGGCTGCTGTCTTCAGAGTGAAGTATTTTTTGTTAAACTGTGCCCCGAAATGGCAATTTTCTTATAGGCAAGAGTGTAACAAGGCAGCAGTTTTGTGTTCAGCAGCTTAGTGGCAATTATGGCCCATTAATGAAATAAATGTTACAACATTTTGTGATGTCTTTGGAGTATTCTGCACTTAAGAATTCCTGTAAATGAAAGTGAACGTTCTCCATGAGGTGGGAAAACTTTGCTTAATATTTAAAGATAGAATTAAAAGTTTCAAAGCTGCAGAAATGGCATGTGATCTGACTAATTTTGATTGCTCAAATGAATGTGCCTTGCACTTAGAAAGCTTTAAGAGACTGCATTACTTGACTGATCAATGTAAAGTATCTAACAGCTTCTGCTTACTGCAGTGGGAATTGCCAGCCTTTAGTGTCTTAGCATATTATTTGAATATGCCAAACATTGAAACTTTTTTCACTCTAGGATCACCATCCTTGGAACGGGTGCAAAGTGGCTGGCTGTGCTAGAAGAGAAAAATTTAAAACCATGTAAGCTTCAAAAAGCTATTGCATCCCTTCTGTCCTCCCTCCTACCTTTCCTGTCCAGGTTCTGGCCCTGAATCTTGTCAAAGTACTTGATGTAATTGTTCTGGGTTGTAGTGTCAAATAGATAGAAACTCTTGTAAAAATTCTACCTTAACCTGATCTGTTGGTTTCCTCCCTTTTAAGGTGAAACACACAATCTCCAAACCCTCCACACTATACTGTCTACAGGATCACCGCTCAAATCTCAAAGCTATGAGTATGTCTACAAACACATAAAAAGCAGCGTTCTCCTGGGATCCATTTCAGGTGATGCTTTTATACTGCATGCATCTTCCTAATTCTCTTCATTGCCTGTGCATTTCCTTCTTACTTGTTTGCTGCTGTGTATTTAAGAAGCTTAACCTTTGGATTGTTCAGGCTTGGTTATAGTTAAACTGGAATTAACTGTCTTTTTAGTGCAGAGATTTTCTGCATAATTCAGTGTGCCATAATGAAGCTCAATATGCTCAAAGGCTTTTAGGTGGAATGTTTCTGACGTGGTGGATGTTTTGGGTTTTGGCTTTTTTTTTATTTTTAAGCAGGATCATTTATTTTGACTGGCTGTCCTTAGGGGTAGCAGGGTGAGATGAAGAAAAGAGTCTATTAACCTACAGAACACGCTGTTCTGCAAATAGCTGACTTCAGCAGAAAATACCTCTTGAAGAGGTTTTTTCATGTCCTTGTTTCAATTCTTTTGTGGTAAGTAATTGGCAGACAGATTTTTTTGTAAATTACATGATTAGGGAAGTATGGAGCCCACATACTGTGCAGCTTGTTGTGAGGAGTGTGAGCTGAGGCAGCTCCTATTCACATCAAGTCCACTGCGGAACTCCTCGTTCTGCTTTGTCACAAGGACTGACTTTTTCAAAGGGCATTTTAACTTAGTTTAGCTTGATTTTTCAAAGTTTGACTGTTCAGCTATTGAAGTCACCTCTGACTCAGGCCTTAGTAAGGGTAGTGCTGAATCTAGAACTTGCTACAACAGACCTTAATAGTCTCATATGCAGAATACTATTTTTGAGTGAAGCTAACATGATTGATAAGTGTTATAATTCCACTTCCTTCAAGTTCTAGAAATACTATAAATATTCCAGTTAAGTAAGCACCTTGACAGTATCTATTTTCATTAAGATAACTGTTCATTCTATAGACATGGCTCCCCTTTCTTCCCTTCCTCCCCCTCCCTGCTAATGAGAATGAGATATAAAAGCTAAGTAAATATTGAGTGGAATAGCTTGACATTACCTTAAACTAATTAAAACAAACAAGAAAACATTTCTCAGTTATCATAAATATCTAATTCTGAAAACTAGGGCCTGTTTTTCTCATTCTTGTATAAACAGAAACTTCCTTAAATGAGATTAAAGAAACTGTTGGAAGAAGTTATGCCTTAAGGAATATTCCTGCATGAATGGCACAAATGTATAAAGACATGTAAAGTAAGAAAAGAAACCTTCTTTTATTAAGTCACATACCATTCTGGATAATGCTTGCCTGTTCGATGATACTTAATGTGCATCAGAAGCTGTTCCAGAGTTCTTAAGTTTCAGTTTTGCTATTTCCAAAATATTCTGTGTATTCTAAATGGACTTTTTATTGTAGGTGGGACAGATATAATTTCGTGTTTCATGGGTCAGAATGTTACAATTCCAGTTTACAAAGGAGAAATTCAGGCCAGAAATCTTGGAATGGCTGTAGAAGCATGGAATGATGAAGGTAACTATTCCCAAAACTATTATGCAAACTTAGAAAATATAGTAGTGTTATGACCTTAAGTTTCATTCATCAGATGGGTAAATGGTCAGCTGTTAAATAAGTGATTTCACTTTGGAAACATGTTCCATAAAACCTGCCTCTGGATCCATCTCATCTGGATCATACAGGACTTTAGTGTATAAAGGCCCTCCTTTTCCATTACTCTGCTAAAACACATCAAGGCCCAATTTTAGCCTCTGCTGTGTGTTAGCTGTGTTGCCGTGCATGCCAGGCTGGCTTCCACCCTGTGGTGCAACTTTCCTGGAGTTACTGAGGTTGATAGGGATGAGTTTAGGAATTGAACACAAGCTGTTAAGCCCACCAGTCACAGCTCATCTTGTATCTACAGCAGCATCTGGTATGTAAGTAATAACTGTAGGTGCTCTTTGCTGTGGTACTCTATTGTTTACCTCTTTCCTTGTAAACAGGAAAACCAGTTTGGGGTGAAAGTGGAGAGCTGGTTTGTACCAAGCCTATTCCCTGCCAGCCTACGCACTTCTGGAATGATGAGAATGGAAGCAAATACAGGAAGGCATATTTTTCAAAATTCCCAGGTATGTAATGAAGGGCTTTGGGATATTGCTCAAACTGACCAAGGATGTAGATGGTATTGCTGCTTTTAGGGAAGTACAGGTTTATTCTTGCCCAGTGATGTAAGTGCAGTTTTGAATCTAGATTTCCAAGGTGAGAAATCCATAGCATGTTTCATAGTATCTCACTCTGTTTTCTAGTGATTCATTTTGAATATGGATCCAAATCAATTTTAAGAATTTCTGGAAAGCTCCAATCCCATTTTGTTCCTGCTCTCATTAGGCAGATGTGAGTGTAACAGCCTGATAATCTGTAGTGCAGTCATGGACTGCTTGGCATGAGTGTGAAATGAAAGTGATGAATAGGTCAGGGAGCAACCAGCCATTAATGAGTGCTGCTGCACCTCTGCCAGACTGCTGCTACCTAGCTGGAAGAGAGAATCCTAAGGGATAAGTGCTGACCCTGCTACCTTATTAGCATGAGGTTTAAGTATATGCAGCTTCAGACATGCACAGTCTTCATCTGTGCAGTCTTTCAGTGGTGGTAAGAGTAAAGGAACAGGTACTGTGTGCCAGAAGCTTTCTTCCTAATAATTTGGGAGGACTCCTGTCATCCAGAGCTTTTGCTTATGTGGCACAGGCATGCTGAACTCCCTGCTGCCTATGGGGCAGGGGCTTTTATAGGGCCAGGACCTCAAGCTGCTGCTTTTTGGAGATGGAGGCTTTTTTATATATAGCAGCAGTACAGAATGAATTCACAAGCGAAGTCAGGACATGCATCAGGAGATAATCATATAGGAAAACTGAGGGAATGTGGGAGTTAGTCTGCATGTAAGCCTGACAACAATAAATGGGGGAAAACCCCCTGTGTTTACAGTTGTTAGATTGAAATCACTGGGGTCCAGAGGTTCTGTCTGAAACCGCTTTTCTGTCCTTCATTGCAAAGGGGCTTAAGGCTGTCATAGTGAAGTTAAAAAATGGTCTTATGTGCACATGCATGTGGAAATAATTGGGGGCTGTTTGGTTTCCTTTGGAAAAACTTGAGTGGAATTGGCTTGTATTTGTTTGTGGCAGGCTGCTGTAGTGATATCAGTCTTAAAAGGAATACAGAAGTTATTCCAGCTCTGCAGTCAAATCTGATTGTGTATTAACACAACTCAAGATCATTAAGCACATAAGCTCCTAGGGATTGTTGAGACCTATTGCACAAGCCCAGAAAGCTTCTTGCACAGAATTGCACATCATAAAAGTGGATCAAGGAAGACTGGTGGGAATGTTGTTGTTTTTGTGGAAGATTCTCCCAGTTTCCTCAAAACACGGTGTTCTGAGCAGCTATTCACCTGTTTTCTAAAGGATGCTGTACAGTCATGCAAACAAGTAATCAGAAGATAACCTAAGGTTTGATCCTAATGTGTGAGCTACTCTTGTTTGTGTTAGCTCTGTGTAGTAAATGCAGTATGGATTGTTTGCATAGTTAAGTACTGCTACATTTGCTGTGGGTAGTTCTCAAACTATATCTGATTCATTGCATTTTTGTATGTATTTTATTAAGTTAACATGAGTTGAGTTACACAAATGCCTGCCATGACTGCATGAATAAGAAATCAGCTGCTTAATCTCTGTCATTCTCTAATAGGTGTTTGGGCCCATGGTGATTACTGCAAAATTAATCCCAAAACAGGAGGAATTGTCATGCTGGGTCGCAGGTATAGTATTTTGGTGAAAGCATTAAAACTTGCAGACTTCACCTTAAAGATTAATGTACATGATTCTCCATCATGCCTGTTAGCTTTATGTTACTTTTGTTAAATCCAGTATTGTGAATTCCAACCCTTAAATGAATCAGAGCAGCTGGATTAGAGGGAAGGAGCCCATTTCAGAGTTCTACTCCACTCCTGTATATGTGAACACAAGACAGTGTTGGACTTGTTTTTCTGTTCCATGGTTTATCATGATCATTTGTAAGGGTTCAAATAGAGAGCAGCACATTCAAGGTGGTGAATCAGGAAACTTTTCTTCTGGTCTTGGTTTTGCCATTGACTTGCTTTACAGCAAAACTGAAATTATAGAAGATCAGGTATTGTGCTTGTCTTGGCCATCACAGATGTTCAAGATCACAGCTGTGGCTAAATTTTCAGCTTGCATTTAAAAGTTGTTTTACAAAACAAAGTTGAGTGGATGCCCTGAAGCTGTATCTGGCATTGTCACAAATAGACCTGCTCAACAGACATACAGTGTGAGGCTGCTGTATATGAAACATGAGTTCCAGCTATAAGAGACTGGAAAGTAATGATGTGTAATTGCAATATGATGGAGTACTAAGATCCTTGGTCTGTTTTGTCATCAGTGGCATATGTGTGTGTAGTTGTAGGCTACTGGAAAGAGGAGGCACTAGGAAAGGCTCAGTGAATAATGTTGAGCTTCTCTGTACAGCTTCATTTTAATGAGCAAAATGCCTTTTTGAAACAAATTCTTGTAAAATTCTGTTTCTAATGTGGCTGCATATTCACTGCATGAAATGTAGAGAGATTTGGTTAATTGCATCAGTTTTTCTCTTTTCATCAAATTAATCACATTTCAATGCTTCTTTGTTTTGCTGGTGTGTGATTCAGTGATGGTACCTTAAATCCGAATGGAGTAAGATTTGGAAGTTCTGAAATCTACAACATAGGTATGAAATTAACTTTCTACCTCTCAGCTGTGACATTGTTGCCTTAAATCTTTATAATGCTTACATTTCAGGTGTTTGGAAGGATTAGGTAATAAAAGACTTGCCATTTTTCAAATGTCAGCATAGAGCATATTAGCGTTAACAGTAAAATTCAGTTTTGAAGACTTGAAATGGATTGCTTTCCCAAAGTTTCTGTAGGGCTGGAGATGACTGTTCAAGATCTTTTCTCTGTAAGATGATGCTTTCCTATAATAAGGCCTGAAAGATTAATTACATAATGCAGATTTATAAGAGAACCTAACTTCTGAAGCTTTGCTTCCCCCCTGCGAGACAAGCGGTTTTATTCTCTTTCCTAATAATTAGAAGTTCCTGAGCTTGTGCTTCATATTTCAAAGGTCTGTCTTGTGAAAGGCTGTGAAACTGCACCTGCAGAGGTGCTAATCTAAGACTTCAGGGCCTGTTGCCTCTCCTGGTTCTTGTGTGATCAAGCATGTTAGTTTTCTGCCTATGCAGTAATGAGGGTTGTGAGGAAACCCAAAGAAAATGGCTTAGTGTAAAACCTTGTTGTCTGTCCCAAAAGCTATAGCAATTTTTTTTTGTCCTGGACTTAAATATATATGGTCCTTAAACCTGGATTTTCAACTAAGCACGAGTTAAAATTTCAGAGCAGCCAGAGGGAAGCTTGGTGTAGAATAACCTCACCAAGATGTCTGTTTTGCCTTTGCAGCTCTGGGGAACTGACACTTCTTTTGGTGCAACCACAAAACATGTGCGTACTGAATAATACACATTTGTAAGTGCTGTTAAGGATTCTCCTTTCTTTTCAGTTGAAGCTTTTGAGGAGGTTTCTGATAGCCTCTGTGTCCCTCAGTACAACAAAGATGGGGAGGAGAGGGTGATACTCTTCCTGAAGATGGCATTAAACCATGCGTTCAGCAAGGATCTGGTGAAAAGAATCCAGGATGCAATCCGTAGGGCGCTTTCTGCCAGGCATGTTCCAAGCCTCATTCTAGAAACCAAAGGCATTCCGGTATGTCATGAAAAATGCTGCCTACTTTTTTCTTTGTCACCTTGAATAGTAATTAAGGAGCAGTTGTCATTGCTCTTCAAACCCACATGCATGGAAATTTTAGCATCTCAAAAGTGTATTCGAGCTTTATAAATAGTTTGTCTATGTTGCCTAGCAACATCATTTCATCTCCTTTTGAGCTAAGCATGTTTTTGTTTAACAATACCTAAAAATGCCCATTCTCAGCTTATAAATGTGGTGTGCTCTCTTAGTAATATATACTTAAACCTTTTACATTACCTTTTTAATATTTGCCTTTAACTTTGGCTTTTCTGGCACCCATAAGCTTATTTTGTTTTTGTTTTCCTGTTTCAAATGACTTTCTTATGACAGCTGAGAGCACTGAGCAAATTCATAAAATTATTTTGGAAGCCATTTTACCTTTACATCTGTTTAGCCACTTAAATGTAGCTCTCAGTGCCTTAACTATAGCAGTAATTAACATCCTTGTGCTTATGGGGGGAAGGTAGAGAAATTTGTACAGCTAAAGGTTCTGCATACTCAGTCTTCTGGAGCTGTTACTCTCATGCTCTCCTTTGCTGTATGAACCTTTTAGTTGGAATGCCTGTGTTTTATAGCACTCTCTGGTAGTCTTCTCAACAGCTGTATGAGTGGCAGAATGGGGTGCAGAGTGTAGTTGTCTCAAGTCCATTTGCATGTGGACTTGAGTGTGCCTACAGAAAAGACTTGAGACTTCAGACCAATTGTTTCATATAGATACCCATTTACTGCCAATATTGGTTTCAATGTGGAAGTAGTCTACAGTTCAGGACTGCCAGCCTCTGTGGTGCATGCAGTGATCTGGTTCTGATCTGTTGAGTTACTGCTGTTTCAGGCCACTGTTGGCAAATAATCCTTGGCTCAAAATGTCTTCTTTGCATGAGCCTAAAATCCCCTGTGCCTGTGAAATGGCAAAGCCTAGATTTTCTGGGCTGCAACTTAATTTCTGCATGAAGTGTTGAACTTGTAAAGCGTGTAAATCACCTGAATGTACAGCACAAAGTTGATAGCAGTGAGGTGCTTGTGATGGGGTCCCTCAGGAAAGCCTGCTCACATCATTAATTAGTTCACACTTTGCCTGAATTTACAATTGAGTGAATTTTAATTACCTTTCAGGTAAACGTGCTAGTGGTGATCAAAGCTCTCTCCCACCTTTGAAAGTTCGCCTTGGAAGGGAAACATTTTCCTGTTTTCTGCTACTTTTAGAACTGTATTAGAATCCTCATCTGAAGATACAATCTAACCCTGACTGTGTACAGGCACTATATACTGGTAGAAAAATATTGTAGCTGTGTTGAAGTGATTAGGATTTTAATAATACGAAGCACAGGTTTTAATGAGATACCCAGGTGTCAAAAACATACTGAAAACTCTTAATCAAATCTTCCTAGTCCTGTCCTGACCAGATAAGCATTCTGGTCATCATCCACAACCTGTTGTGACTTGTTCTGAGACATTTAAATGTAGAAGGCCATTTAAGCTCAGTGCTTCACTTCACCCTGTCAGAAAAAGGCTGTCCATTTAAGACACAAGTCGTGGTTTTCTTCTCCCCAAGCCCATTGGAGTTGGTCTTTTTTTTGAGCCCACCCTTAGAAAATTAAAAATTATTTGAAAACTGGAAGTGTCAGAACATGTTGAAGTTTTTTTGGTGTTTATACCATGATTCTGATCTGATTTCATTGGTTTAAATTGGAGCTTGATCATGTTCTCACAGTATTACCAAGTAGGAATAATAAGCTAAAATTACATCCAGACTGTAGGAATTCCACTTACCCTTCAGCTGATTTTTCAGAAGAAAGATTCTGATGCCTCAAGTGTAACAGAAAGGAAGACATTGCTTTGATCCTGTTCTGGGATTGGAGGGCAGGTTGGTTCATGAATATTTCCATAAAGCTACTACATGAAAGTGTAACTTTGTCATTGCCATTTTTGTTTTTCAGTATACAATAAATGGAAAAAAAGTGGAAGTAGCTGTGAAGCAAGTAATTGCAGGGAAGGAAGTTGAGCAGCGGGGTGCTTTCTCAAACCCAGAGACTTTGGACCTGTACCGAAATATTCCTGAGCTTCAGAACTTCTGAAGTCACTTGTTTGGCATTTTTTTTGCATCAGTCTTTGTTCTGTGTTTGTTTTGTATATATACCAATACTGTATGTAAAGAAAAAGCTCTATTTAATACCAGTGGTTCTTTTAAAAGAAAAAATATTTCATGAAGTGCATTATGAAAGGCATGGGTAAAGCTTAGCTTCCTTTTATTGGTTAAATATGCCATATATCTTGGAGTTTTTTCCAGCCTGGGAGGAGGAACCTGCCTGTTTTGATTTTTATATATATGAGTGCATCTTTTCTGGTTAGACTTACATCAACAGCCCATCAAGGGGGAGCACTGGTAGCATCACTTACAGTTGCAAATAGAATATTTCTTTCACAAAATACTCACTTTCTGGGGTTTTTTGTTGGTTTGTTTTTTTGTTTTTTTTTTAAACTGGATTTTTAGCCACATTTTTTTTCAGTCCATGTGTTTGTCACCTGTAAGGAACACACAGTGATTTTAACTACTTGACCATGAAACATGCAAGTGTTCTATATGTAGTGTACACTTAAATGTTTTTATAAAGCCAAATCATAATGCACTAAACCATTTGACTTGACTCAGAACAATTTCAATCTTGAAATATCTCATGGTACTCTTGAAGGTAATTGCTGCTTCATGTTGTGTTGTAACCTTCCTATTGTTTTAAGCTTTTAGTTGATAGACTTCTGGGTGTTCAGAAGGTGGGGGAGCAATCACCTCCTCCTTATTCCTGGTGTAACTTCCATGGAATTTTCTGTCATTACTGTGGATTAACATCATTGCAGTTGAAGACAGCATTTTGCTTCCTTGTTTTGAACTTCCTTTACTGGCTTTAAGGCAGTGATCCTCTGTTATGTTAGCTGAAGAATTCCAATGTGTTTATTAAAAGCTGATGGATTTTGTAACTTTTTTTACTAAGTGTCATGTTGAAAGTTGAAGCCTAAAATGTTTTCTAGCTCTGTATCCTTCCAGTTTATAAAGGGAAAAATACTGTCATGAGCATACTAAAACAGTAAAATGGAAGCACTAAACCATTTTGTTTTTCATCAAATACAGTTGCAGTAGTTGTACCGAGCCTCTGGCATTCAGTATCTCCTGCACATTTGAGTTTTGTGGGCTAAGTATTTAATGCATTAAAATCATGGATGTACTTACAGTTGTGTTGAATGCATTCAGCATTGATAGTAAATTAAAAGAAATTGATTCTTTAAATATATATATTATATATTACATGTGTTTTAATTTGCACTTGGTTATTGTCTTTTTCCTTTCAATTGGGTGTCATGGAATCATTTTTAGCTTAATTTGTTACTGATATTTAGCTTAATTTGTTACTAAGTTTAATAGTTTTTATTCAAGTCCATCCCACTACAAAATTATTGTTCTCTGAAAGTTTTATCCTGTTTTCTTACGCAGAGCCCGGGACAAGTAAAACATTGCTGCTAGTTACATATGCACAGTTGGCTCATTGAGAAGGTCACAGGTGAACAGGAGAGGAAGACAGTGTCCTGAAAATGTGCCTTGTGTCAGTACAGTAAGAAGCTGCAGGTTGTGATATGTTGATGTTACTAAAAGGGATCACACTTGAAAGGTGTGTACTCTGTTACTTAGGGCAACATTTAGATGCTCGTTTGGTTACAGCTAGTAAAAGTTTAATGTATATTTCTTCCACCCTGTGATAGATCTGCTGCAGAATATGTCACATTGCTGCTAGTAACTCAGTAATGGTGAAACTGCCTATGAATGCAGCTGAGTAGCCCCTCTCAGGTGGTCTGTGGCTGAATCAAAAGCACACAGTCATTGGGTCCACCAGCTCCACGTGCACTGCCGGATGCAGAAATGCCTCATTAGCAAATGAGGTGTTAAATGATCTGGTCTCCATTTGACTTTCTGAACTGTACCAAGGCAGACTATATACCATGCTGGCATGAAAAATGTGGTAGCATAAATACCAAGCACCCATTAGAAAAGTATAAAAATGAGCTATACAGCTGCCAATAACCTATGATTAAAAGCACTTTTAAATTCCTCTCCCCTCTGGCATGCTATATATAAATTTTACATTAACTGTGACTTTGTATTCATTAAAACTTCATTATATTGTTCTTTAATTCATGCAAAATGTCTGGAGTTTATAAAGCCCACAGATCCTTATTAATAAGTAATTTTGGGATATTTCATTAATTAAAGATAGTTTAGAAGCACAGATGCATTAAGAACATATACAATGCCTAGAGGCTGCTTTTTTAATATGCTATCCTGCTGTAAACACTGTAGAAAGTTTTGTTAACGGATATAATTTGATCTCTTGCAAATGTCATGTTGCAAAACTTTTCCCAGACTATAGTTACAAGCAAAAAAATAGATCTATTTATATATTGATTTATGTACTGAAAATGACTTTATAGCCATGAAGCCTTGACGGGTAGTGCAAAATGCACTGTGCAGACCAAGGACTTGTCGGTGCCTCTCCTGGTTTCAAGGGTCTGAGTTTCAGAAGTGCTGGATGCTGACAGCCATGGAAATCCAGGGAGGAGGAGAGGTATGTGGGTACTCGTGTTAGGCTGCAAAGTGACTTGAAAGGAGGCTGTGGCAGAGCTGGGAACACAGTCCAACTTCCTGAGTGGAGCTCCTCCTGTCCTACAAGCATTCAACTTGGATTTATCTTAGCTTACTTGTAGCATAAGTGACCCATTTCTTTGGTTACTGCCATGGAGCTGTGAATATGGCAGTGCTCTATCCAGTTGGGGATAGTTCAGAATCTCACTGGCATGAAAGTAGGGAGCTAAGGTCATTACAGTTTGCAAAGGAAAAACAGAGAACATGATTTTCTGCTTCCTATCCCAGGTTGTGAGCTAGCTGTGCTCTTTCCAGGGCTTGGGCATAGCATAGTTGTGGTCAAACATAATTTCAAGGGTGTCCTTACAAACTGGTAGCATCCAGATGCTTGGCCACAACAATAAGGTCTGGTGTGGTAGTGCAGCTCCTGATACCATAGCATTGGCAGCAACAGCTCCTGTGAGTACCACAGCTCTGGTGATCCTAAGACATAAGCTGGGCAACCCTTGCAGAATGTCTCAGCTGATGGAGTGCTGGCCTACCTCAGGTGGCTTTATCCAGAAAGACTTGATGCCTTGATTATACCTTGTATGCATAGCCCTCTTCCTTTAGTTTCTTGTTGCCTATGTATAATTTGAGGTTCACAGTGTTTTACCTGGAAAGTGACATATGCAGATGTTAGTGGCATGTGTGGCATGCAAATAGAGCTGGTTCTGGAAACTGCTTTAAGCTCTGACATAAATGCCCAACAGCAAGGAAATTCAGAGCAGAGGTACTTGAGGCCACTTGGTCTTCTGCAAATTTGAGAGTGACTGTTGAATTATGTGATGGAATCAGCCCATTTGCCCTCAACTCATTGAGAGATGTAGTTTTATCATACCCCTTCTAGAAATGTGCTTTTGTCAGCTCCTGTTAGAGCAAGCACTTTCCCTTCCCACTACCCTATGATTTGAGTTAATTTCTCTGGTTAGTGTTGGTTCTCAAAGAAATAAAGTGAGCTGGTACACAACAACCTAAGCAGGGCATAGCTGATAAAATTGTTTGTTATGTGCGAGAGAAATTGGTTGTGTGAATTACTTATTCAGTGATTTTTAGAAGCACAGGTAATTGCCTAATGGAATGCAGCTTCCCTGGGGCCATTATTGTCTTTCAGTTTAATGCATACATATTTAAAGGGATATCATTTACAAGGCAGAACAGTCAGTCACACAGGTGAATGGGTGTTAATACGTAAAATGCATTAGTAAGTAGTACCAGTTTGTTCTTGAGATCAAACTCTGCAGGGTTTTGCTTTTGGGAGAACCAGTGTCTATAGCGAACACTCTGGCAGGAAGATGGTGTCCTGGTGAATCTTTGTGGAAGGTGCTTGGGAATGATATACCCTATGCCACATCCCTGGATGGAAGTGCTGCCATAGTCCTCATGCAGGTAAGTGCAGCTCCAGATGGCACACAGCAGGGCTGTGGTGTGGCTGAATATCAGGACTAAGTTATTAAATGTCTTCCTGAATAGTGTGTGAATCTTGGGTGCTCAACAGGTTATTGAGGGAGGAGAAGGTTTGTGGGTCATGAGCACTTCTGTGAACATGACACACCTTTGCTGGAGAAGGCTGCTGCAGGAGCACAGTGCAGGAGCAGCACGAGATCAGGCCTTTCATGTCTGTGATTTGTCTCCTTGGTGCTCAGAGGTACAAGAGATTTGCTGGGAAAGACATGTTTGTCAACTAACGTGTTTGAAATTGGCTGATACTGGGTTTCATGCTTGGGTCACAGCATGGAACAGACATTGATTTGGAAGATGTGTTCTTTTGAATAACGTTTTACTTGTCTGTATCTGCTTTTTCATTTCTTTTAGTGGGTCACTTTATTGAGCACTTAACCTCTGTCCACCTTTGGGACTCTGGTTGGAGATGTTTCAGTACATAGAAGGCTTTGGTCTTCCTGCAGGTGATCTTTGGAGCTCTGCATTGAGCAATTTCTCCATTAAATCTTCTAGCTCACCACTGGTTTCCTGAGGTGTCTGTCTACTGGCTGGATCTTCTGCCCTGCAGAGATAAGTCCGAAAATGCTTGGCTCATCCTTCTCCCTTTGTAAGGAGGGTATTTTTAGTTCTTAAATAATCAGGTCTTAGACACCAACAAGATGCAACTTAATTTTCTTCTACATCTTTTATAGAAAGAGGAAGCTACATGTCATACACTGTATTCTTCCAGAAATAAAATGAGGGTACGAACTGCTGTGAAGCATGGCCACAGTCCAGTACAGCAGCCTCCAAGCTGATGAGAGCACACATATTTTCCTTGCTGGGAATTAGTGGCCTTTTTAGATTCAAATAATGAGATAATCAACATCAGTTCGAGCATCTTGCTCTACATGATCTGTGTGCAAAGTGGGAGTGACTCTGCTTCCCTCTCCTTTGCATAACAGTCTCTGAAATGCCATTAGCGAGTCAAAGAGTGTCTCAGAACAATTTCAGTTGCAGAACAATAAGATGTCCCAAAGTATTAATGTAGCAGGCTGCAGCTGTCCACACAATTTCTCATCATTGCTTCTGATGGCCAGAGAAATTCTTCCAAACCACCGGTTGGAGATGAACTCAAGTGATAAAACAGCGTTGGTGGGGGTGGGAAAATCCTTGGCATGCCATTGTTTAACATGTTAGTGAAAGCTTAATTGGACCTTGTACTTCTTAATTAGAAGACCTTAACAAATTCTCATCTTACTACTTTTGACAAGTGGTTTTACAAAGTTCAA